ATTCCGGCTTTAGATTTCAATATTGCTCTCTCGTGGTGGCAAAAATAGTCACTAGTTTATAAAAATTTAACCGTGTTTTAAATCCATTGTTTGCACTTTTAGAGTCATTAGGTATCAAATTCAAAGCACGAAAATTGTTCTCATTTTTTATATTTAAATTTATTTTTATTTGATCCAATATTACAATCCACACACATACTACCTCCCTATCATATGTATCCTCCGTTTAAAAGTAGCTGAAATTAAGAGTAGTTAAAGAAAATATAAATTATTGAGGGTATGTTGGGAAGATAATGAAATAGTGTGCTGGGATGAAAGATATATCCAAAAAAGTAGTTGTAATAGTGTATTATTTTCAAAATTATCAAGGGTATGATGGAAAGATTTAGAAATAGGAAGATATAAATGTTACGGGCGAAAAGGGATAGTGGGAAGATATTGTGAATATGATTCTATTTTACATTTATTGTTAATAGTCAGGGGAGGATCTATGTTAGGGCTATGGTGGGCTGAAGCCCAGGGCAAAGTAAAAAAAATTAATTTTTGTAAGGTATTATTTTTACAAAATTCTATCCAGCCCGGCCCAAATTTTTCTATAGCCCAATCCAATTTTCCAGCCCAACCCATAAAACAAAATCATTCCATCTAAAAATCTAATCTAAATGTTATACAAATTACCTCCCACTTAACAAGAGGCACTTTTGTACATCGTATAAGGGCCGTAAAGCCCAAAAGGAATAAATGTAATAAATCCAATAAAATATGATTCAAATATGATTCACATCAACTTGTAAAGTGTTTGAGTATATTCAAGAACATTGCCCAAAAGTGAGTTCTTGGGCAGAAGTTCATAGTGTATATAGACACTTTCCATGTTTTGAATTTGTGTTCAATTCACTTTTGATATAACGAGTATTCTTTGTCAAGACCTTCAAACAATTATTGGATATCTTGATAGCAATGAGACATGTTTCTACTACACAACTCATTCTCGGGGAAGTGACATAAAATGGATGTGAAGGCTTTCTTGAAGAAGCAAAGGAGTTTTGCTCAAAAAAGAAATTCTTGTACCGAAATTGAATTCTAAATATATGGTTGGTCATTGCCGAAAAGAAACTACAGTTGAGCATTCATTATCACTTTGATGTTTTCAATGAGGCAATAGACTTTGTATTGTTGAAGTTAAGGACTCGGTTTAATGATAAATCAATGGATCAAACTCCTTTCTTTGAGTGCATCATTGGATCCCGAAAGTTCATATGTGTCATTCAATGCCGATGCTATTTGTAATCTCTTGCAAGGAAGTTCTATCCCGAAGGTTTTAGTAATGCTTTTGAATTCGAGCGACAACACTATGCTCATGATGTGATTCATGATACAAAGTTTCGAGTATCTACACTTGTTAAATTATGTGAGCACTTGACTAAGAGCAAAAGATCTGTTTCATATGTTATGATCAGCATATTGATTCGCTTTGTATTGATCTTATTGTTTTCACTTCAACAATAGAATGATCATTTTCTGCCGTGAAACTTTTAAAGACAACACTCCGCGACAAAATGGATGATGACTTTTTTGTTAATTGCAATACACTTTATATTGAAAAAGGTCATACTCTTAGTATAGATGTAGACTCTATAATTGACGAGTTTTTTTGTTTCAAAGCTTCATCGAGAACAAATTTAGTGGAGAACTCTTATATATATATTTTTTGCTTATTTTGAAATTTTTTAATGTATTATCAATTAAGTTTTTTAGCCCAGTCCAATGTGAAATCCTGGATCCGCCCCTGTTAATAGTTTACATCTGACAAATATTGTGATCTTTTTTATATTGTCATGGCACGGAGAACGGCACGATCCGGAGAATAATAAAGTAAGAACTGTGTGATTGAGATTTGAACAGAGAATGAAGAATTAATAAGAACCACAAAATCTTTACTTAAAATAAATAAAAGGTGACAAAGTCAGTGGACAATAAAAAAGGCAAGATTTTAAAGAACCGAGTAGCTCATATATGCACACACACTTATAATCTCCTAATTAAATCGAGAAAATTTTACTACGTATTTCTTTATTTCTATCCTCGTTAATTACCTATGTGGCAATGCTTACACCAACATGGTTGTTGTTAGTGTTGTTGGAAAAATGTGTTAAAAATCGCATTAAGTGGTAATTTTGGGGCAATTTTTTGAGTGGGGTCCACTTCCGATTTAGGTCGGGTCAAAGTGGTTTTGGATTGATCTTGTTAAAGGCTACAATTCGATATGTGGTACGCTCAAAACAGATAACGGGTGAATGAGAAATTGATTCTCGAAGTTTACCCGTTGGAATGAAAAACTGAGAAAAAGGATGAGTTTCTAGTGTGTTATTTCTTTCCCACACCATAAAACCAAGGGATTTGCAACCCCTTATAAAGGGAAGCCTCTTTTAAGGAGTTAAGATTCCTAAGGTGAAAGGTTATCTCTTGCGCGCAGGGGGTGCGAATCAAATCCCGAAACAGAGGAGAAAAACTGCGACTTGCGAGCGCGGGCAACCTGCGGACATGAATGTCGTCCAAAAATCTATCTTTCAAAGATACGGAGTATGATTTAATTTATGTTTCTTCCCGTAACGTTTTATTTTTTCCCAGAACCAGAAGTGCTCAGCGGCAGAACAGCTTTGGACAGAAGGCTTAAGACCAGAACACCTCGTAAGGTGTTCTGGTCGCGTTCTGAACCGTTACAATAATAAATGTCCAACGTTCTTATGTCATTATGCAGCGTTAAATGGGCAGCTCATGGACGATATAATGCCCAACGGACTGGTCATTGATGTCCAACGTTCAGTCCATTAATTCACCATTAACACACAGCAAATCCTCCTATATAATGGCTGGCAGATGGTTTGCAACAACATAGGTTAACACATGCAATCATAAATGAACTGCACGTTTTGTTAAGCTAAAAAACAATTCCAGCTACTTCCGAAAATTTCCTTTGTGTTCTTGCTTGGTTTCCGTTCGCTGGAACTTTTGTTTGTGTGCTCTAACAATAGTTCGTAGTCATCGTATCCTGGGAAACGATTCTTGCAACGCTCCTAGCACCGTGGGAGGCAACGAATACGTTTTAAGGACATCGTGCGTAGCACGAGCTTTGACTAATTTATGCTCCATCTATTTTCTGATTTTCTTTTGTCAATTTAAATAATTCATTTTAATTAATTTTCTTTAATTTTCGAAACACATCCAACAAGTCTAAACATCTCAACTCGATCATGTATGTCACAAATCAACATTGATATGATATTCTTCACATGGTTTCTAATCTGAAAAGTTAAACTAATAGATACTTGGTAGTATATACTACTACATCGATCCCAAAATGATGGTTCTGTATTTCCTTTTTGGGATGTCCCAAAATGATAGTCATGTTTCCCTTTTTTGTAAAGAAGAGTGGAGTACCATTTATACTCCTCCTTTTTAATGAACAATAAAAGTAAAAAGGATGAACAGTACAATAAAAAATAAAGTTCTTTGAGTCTTTCTACCATTCTTTGTTAATCTTTGTGTCCAAAAGAAACAAGACTTTCATTTTGGTAAGAGAGTATCTATAGATAACTTATATAATACTCCCTCCGTCCCCTTTTAAATGTCTCGTTTTACCATATTGGGATGTCCCTATTTAATTGTCTCATACCTTATTTGGTAAAGTTTGTGTGGCTCAAAATTATTCTTACTTTATTCTTACTTTATCAATTAATATCAACCACACAAACCTACTTTTCTTAAAACGTGTGACATCCTCTTCCGGGACATTTAAAAGGGGACCGAGGGAGAATAAGAGACTAGACGCGCAAGTAGTTCAAGATTTTGTAGTGGCTGTTGAATTAGTACGTAGTATATTTTGAAGTACGTAGTTATTGATGGAGAGGATGAGACTAAATTGACTCTAATATCATACGGAGTATTTAAGAGCCATTTGATAACCCAAAACATGATGTCATATTTTGAACAATATCATACGTACTCCGTATTAGTTGTTTAGAGTTTAAACTAGAATTAGAATATCAGGAATTTAAACATAATATCCAATTATATTTGTGCAAGGGCTCTAATGGATTTTTAATGAATAGAATGGATGCCTCTTGCGCTGATGCTCATCCAAATAAGGCTGATTGCAATCCTGGGGTGAAAAAGCTATATTTGAGCTTTTCATCCCAAATATGGCTGCAACCCAGCGTATAGCATGGTGCTAAAGTGGCTAGAGAGCACCGGTAGAGTGGATACGTGCTACGTTGTTCACGGAAGAGACAAAGCAACAGCAGCTTGGACGTATGGAAAGGAAATCATGGTCCCATCCAAATTTATAATCCCAATTTTATTTAAAGGATCATAACTTTTTATTTGTATTCCAATTTTTATAAAAAGTATATTAAAATTCATAATTTTTTATGATCTTTCATATGACACCAATATTTGATATATAAAGTTCAAAAAAAATATGATGTTTCAACTGTTCTATATTTTTAGATCTAAAGTTTTTCTTGAAAAGTTTCAAATATTAAAATTAAAATCTCATGGTTAAAATATTTCTTTACAACTTTCTATTATTTTTCTTTAAAAAATAGGTCTAAATTAACCACTAAAAAAGTAAAGTCCAAATTTATTTATTTTTTTACATCAAAATGTTTGACTTTTCAAATCATAGTTATTCACAATAAAAAAATTGAATAAAATCTTGATGTGTAACAATAAAATTAAGGAAATATTTGAAAATAATTTTGCTGTGTGAACATGTTGACAGTACTGAATTGACTGAGTGAATATATATAAAATGATAGATAAATTTGATTTATTGAGGGAGATGGGTTGGGTTTAGTAGGAGGCTGAAATCTATATGATCGATAATCCTGTTGGGGTGATCGATACTGGCGGGAGGTATTTTGGCATTTTGCATGAAAGCAAAAGCATCTAGCTATATATATATATACATAAATCAGAGTGCCCGCGCCAGCAGGCCAGCCATCCCACTTGCAATATTATATTGCCATATAAGCCCAACTAGCTGCCATCCTATGAACCGCCCTCAGCTATATATATTTTCAAATTGGAAGCCAAGGAAAATTACTACCCAGCGTTGATCAAGTTCCTACTATACGGAGCTGTATTGATCAATAATACAGTACTAAGAATGTATGCATGCAGCTAGCATTTCTTAGTTAGTACCAAACGCTCTTGGTCCGGCCATAGAAATGAAGAAGAAGAGTAGTATTAGTAGTGGTGGTGGTTACTCATTAGGCTGCTGCTGCTGCACTAGACTGCAGCTTCTGCTCCTCTTTCTTCTTCTCCTCCAAACCCAAACTAATAATTTCTTCACTCATGCATGTCCTCACTGCGGCCCTTATCCCCAGCCCAAGCCTAAGCCGCCACCCCCTTGTCCACCTTACCTCCCCAAGCCTCCCACTGCAAAGCCGCCACATGTACCACCCAAGCCTCCCGCCGTAAAGCCGCCACATGTGCCCAAGCCTCCCGTCGTAAAGCCACCATATGTGCCCAAGCCTCCCGTCGTAAAGCCGCCACATTTGCCCAAGCCTCCCGTCGTAAAGCCACCATATGTGCCCAAGCCTCCCGTCGTAAAGCCGCCACATTTGCCCAAGCCTCCCTCCATAAATCCGCCACATTATCCACCCAAGCCTCCTGCGGTAAAGCCTCCGTACGTAGTACCCAGCCCGCCGCCACCTGTCGTTTTTACGCCACCTCCACCACCCCCTCAGCTTCAGCCTCCTGCCATAAAGCCTCCGTACGTACCCAGCCCGGCGCCACCGGTCGTGGTTACGCCACCTCCACCACCACCTCAGCTTCCGCCACCGGTTCCACCGCCACCGTACGTAGTAGTGCCGAGTCCGCCGCCGCCGGTTGAAAAGCCGTGTCCTCCGCCGCCGCCGCAACCGACATGCCCGGCGGACGGGTTGAAGCTGGGCGCGTGCGTGGACTTGCTGGGCGGACTGGTCCACATCGGAATAGGGGGGAGCGCAAAGGAGACGTGCTGCCCAGTGCTAGGGGGGCTGGCGGGGTTGGACGCAGGGATATGCCTATGCACCACCATTAGAGCCAAGCTTCTGGACATAAACCTCATCCTCCCCATTGCCCTTCGCCTCCTCATCGACGACTGTGGCAAAGTTCCTCCCGAGGGTTTCCACTGCCCTGCTGCCTAGCCGCCCGCCCGCTTTCCACGCCGGCCGTAGTAATTAATCACTGCACTTATAATTAAGCACCGCACGATTAGTAATAATACGTTATCCTTTTCAATTCAAAAGCCCACTCATCGAATTGCCCTGTACGTTTTTTATATGTTTACTACAAAATGAATTGGTCCGACCGAGACTATGTTCGATCGCGCTTACGTTGTTGTTTTGTACGAGGTACCTTCTCTGATTAATTGTTTGCCTTTAATCATTTCACTAAAGCTTATCTTATTAGTAAGTTCAATTCTTCGAATGCTCCCTCCCTTCAACATTGCTTAGCTTGCTTATTGTTACTTATAGCAGATATTTGCTCATTCCTTAACTTATGTCTACTGCTCATTTTAGCTTGGCAAGTCTAACATATCACGTCAGATAATAAGTTTGTGCACATTGAAAAAAAATCATCCAAGGATGTCATTTCTGCAAAAAACAATGCACCTAAAAAAGCTCACGTTGACATAAACTAGAAAAGATCAGTAAGACAAGATCAGGGGAATATAAAGGTGGTAGGTAACAAGGACTCCTTAATCAATCATTGTACCTATTATTAATCAATCGAATATTTCAAATAGTTTTACACATGCACATTTTCCATTTTTCCCTCAATCAGTCCCACCAAACAAGACTCGAATCAAGTATAATTAAGGTTGTTCCTATTTCTAGTGATGGGACACCATCGGATAGCAATGACTTAAACCGAACCATTAATAATGATTTTCTTTTCACGTGTTATATTGCCAGACATTTTCTTGAATTCTTTGCAATTGCTTATGAAAATGACTTGCTAGTCCAAAAAAGGTGGTTTTATTTAACATTTTAACCTTCCTCTTGTGACAAAATACTACAAAGAACTATTTTCCACACAAATAAATGTAAGAAAAACGAGTGGGAGATGTCCAAGGCAGTACTCCACTGCACATTGTGTAATAAGAGCACTCCATGTTTCGCCTTGAGCACTTGAACATTCCAACAACAACATGAAGAACAAAAGTACAAAACTAGTCGCTTCAATTTAGCGTTTGACTTGCAATAGAGTGAATAGAGTCTTTTAACAACAAAAAGGAAAGCCCTTTCCAATTGTGTCAGCTTTCATCAATATGTGTACAATACTGAATTCACTTTAATATTGCGCATTTGCGTGTAAGACACGTCAATATTCTAGTAAGGGGTTTTGGCAATTGAGAACCTTCTGAGATTTATCTTCATCCTCTTATCATCTTCGTCGTACCACACTACTTTGTCCACGTGGAACTCCAGCCGTTTGTTGCTGCATTTGGGCTGGAGCTTGCCCGCTTGTCTGTTCTTCAGCCATATTCATAGCTTGGGTGACGGCATTCATTACGATAAGGCCAAGGGGGATCAAATACATCCACTGCAACAATCATTAACAGAGACTCAGTGTAATGTTTTTTGCACTTGATAGGAGTACGAATAAGCAAAGTACAGATGTTTAATTCACTGTGTTCTCACATATTTGGCCCAGAATGATTTTTCTGGAGGCATTACTTCTTCACCTTCTGCACTATCTCCAACTACGATTTCAGGAAGTGTTGGAGCTCTGATCAAAAAGAGTATTTTTACAAGTTATCGATTTAATTAGAATGTAATAAGAGAAAAAAACTTAGCAGCACAAGTTGATAAGGGTCGGGCTGGAAGATGCTGGGGGGAGAATACGAAAGATATAAATGGAAAGAACTAAAATGTGGTGTTAAATGAAAGAAACGCAAAATTCAATAAGTTTTTTACAGTGTGGTTGTTAAAATTTAGTTACTCAATATGTTTATTTTAGATCATCATCATCATCATTCATCATCATCATTAGATTCATTACCCCAGTGCCGCTAAGGCTCCCACCTACGGTGGGGTGGGGGGTCGGATTTACGCAGTCTTACCCCTGTACTAGAGCACAGAGAGACTGTTTCCGTATGACCCATAGTAATATGTTTATTTTAGATATTTGTTGAAATTCAATTTTGTCATTTACTTATTTATGTCTATTACACAAAGACTAAGAAATCTAAATACATATAGAAGGATTTTACCCAAAAAAAGTTATCATACAAGCAATTCATTTTCCTTTCGATTTTCCATGGCTGAACCAAACATAAGAAAATAACTGAACATTTGTTTTCTCCATGGCATTTTCCCGGTCCAAACATTTCCTTGATGAAAATAGAGCTAACATCTTTTTCCAGAATGTTCATGTTGGGAGAAGGAGAAGATGGGACCTATCCTTCCTTATAGCATTGTACTACATGAAAAACTTATATAGGGCCATAGGAGACCTTATAAACACAGAGCAAATACATAATTCATCGCGACATGTCATTTATGAAACAATTGATGCATAACCGGTAAAGGAAAAACAGAAAACAAAAACTTAGGGCACTTACTTGGAGGCCTGCTCTGTTGTTTTTAATACTGTGTAGGAGTTAAAGGACCACTTTGAAGGCTGAAAGGAGAAAAATGTATACCTCAGAGATTAAGTCAACCCATAGATTACTAGCTAGATACACCATATGGTCCATCATATCAATTGATGTTTAGATCATATAATAATAGTGTTCAAAGTTTATTACAGCATATGCTATACTATCAATTCTTACTATATGAGCGCATCCAAATTACATTACAAAAAGAATTGAACTTTGATATTTAAAAAAAAACAAGTAAAGAGGGAAATAGAAAAAGAAAAGAGAAGTCCACAAGCTAGTATGTAAAAAAGTACACACAACATAACAACCATGCTAAGGCTTGCAAGTAGGCCATGTTCTGATATGATATTGAAAATATCTCTATGAAATCATCCTACAGTAGCACCAAATGACAATGAGTTCATCGTTTTGCAAACATTGAAATATTACATCTTTATAATATCTCCTTAAAATAACCAAGTTGATCATAGCAAGTCTCTAGTATTTAAAAACATAGGTATATCAGTATATGCTTAATTTAAAATATTAAAATAAACATCCATTCACCCAAACTAGAGGGGCATAATTAGCAAGCATGTGATACAACACAGGATGCATTAGTTGATAATGGAACAACAAAAACAATTGGAAGAAAATGGCCTAAGAAATATCAAATATCTCATTCACATGAGGTTTGCTTTTGGCTCATTTATACAACCATCCCCAGCAAGGAATCCAGAGTGCAATTCACGAATAGTGAGGTTCTCTAGAACTAAATGAATCCACAAACAAGACCTCAAACAATCTAACAGGTTGTTTAGCTGTGGAAGAGTTCTCTGCCAGCAATACCATGCATGGTTTGGATGAGGGTAGAGACAAATTAAATAATTATTGGTTGAGACTTACAATTTTTAAAGGCCGAGGATACGGGCATGAGCCAGGAGAACCATAATTAACACCAATAATGTTGACACCATCCTAGAAAATATAAGTGATAAACCCAAAGTTATTAATAACAACAAAGTTTTAAAGGAGCCAATCACATAAATGGCTGCGCAAGTTTAGTCCTTCTAAGGAACCAATGTGGACCACACTACTAATTGTAGAAATAAGGTCATGTGGATCCTATTTAATTCACATGGGATCCACGAGGACAGGACTTTATTTTTACATTTGATAGCTCAAACTGCCAAATGTGGAATTAACTTCATATGGTCCTATTAAAGTCAAATAGAACCCATATTGACATCGTGACTTTATTTCCATAACAATAGAAAATAGTTGTTTTTTTAAGGAAAATAATAATAGTTGTTATATTCCTGTAATAACAATAGAAAATAGTTGTTATATTCCTGTAAAACTAAATGTAAAAAACACTTGAGATTCCTAAACTCTAATGTTTCAGAGCAGCATAGAGATGAAGATCTGAAAAAACATTTCTTGTCAACAGAATCAGCAACACAGTTGGGTTGACGACAATTTTTCCATCGAAATTCACTACATTCATCGCAAAAAAATTATGTTTTGCCGAAGTACAACTTTGTAGTTTTGCTTGAACAAACTTATCACATGTAACTTGTATGTGACTCCTTTTGCAAACTTTTTGACAAATGACATGAGAATTTGGCTTTGCCTCATCAAAATAGACTCTTTCTTTAGAAAAAACAAAAATTTGGAACAAGTCTCCTTTTGGGACGGAGGGGTGCTTTGAAGAAACAATAAATGGTTGTTGAGAAATCTGCATAGCATGAGTCGCACATATTAATTAAATTAATACAGTAATCAAATACACACTCCTATTCCCAGAATCTTATTAGTAAATAAATAAACAAAGACAACCCAGAATAATTTCAAATTGATTTAGGATATAGTGGATGAATATAGGTTCTAGAGTTAAGCATTACCATGTGTATGGCGAAGTGCTCATCCAAACCATCCCGGGGAAGGCACCTCTGAAGAAGGAAATTGGGAAATTATACTTCCATGGACAATATAACTCAATCAGTTACAACAGAAAAACTCACAATCATAGTCAGCTACCTCATTGAGGAAATTCAGATTCAATGAATGAAGTAGACATGAATATAATATACAATTTGATACTAGCGAATTGGCACAAGGGGTGCAAAGTCAACTATGGCTTTGTTTGGGAATGAGAAGGGAAGGGGATGGGAGGGGTTTGAAGGATGGCTGGAAGGCGTGGAAATTAAAGGAGCCCCTCACCTTTTTGGGCCTTGCAATGTTAGAAAGGGGAAGGCAGTTGAGGGTTTCAATATCAAGAACTAAGGAGGGACAAATCAATCATTTAATTATTTGTCGTGATGAGAACAACAAACCAAAGAAATGCAAATGAACTGATGAGATGTAATTTTATTATTCTCTTCGAAAACCCCCAGCTTGGAGGAACCCAAAAAGTTAAGCACGGAGATAGTTACGAGGGTTTATAAACACCCCCAGGCCCAGAAGGCCAAAACCATTCATTCCATTTCCAGAAACTGCCAAACAAGGAGATGATGGCCGTAAATCGTAAGCCTCCCCCTCCCCTCCCATCCAAGACTCCCCTCCCAAACAAAGCGTATGTGAAAAAACTCTACATAGCCCATCAGGTATACTGCAACTCTGCAACTAACAGGATGAGATATGATTGCTAAGTCAAAACTAAAAGAGAACAGCATCTAACAGGAAGAGATAAAGATTGCTCAGTTAAAACTAAAAAAGAACAGCGATACCTCTCTTTTGCAAAGTGAAAGGTAAACTTTCATTTATTTCTCTTTTCCTAAAACTTTAAATTTTGACCAGATGATCGCATGCATCATATCTGATAGGCTTTCTTCACTACTCAATGTTAAGTCAATTTACCATCAAACCATTGTTTTGGACAGCACAAGCTGACATGGACACAAGTAAT